CAGCATTCAATGCAGGACCAGCAGGTTCTGCAGCAGCTTCTTCCCCACCGCCATCACACTGATGAACTGTTGGATAAAACAAGAAAAAAAGTGCTGAATGTTGGAAAAACTGTATATAGCATCTCAGTCTTATGTTTAAATTTTGATCACTGCCGCACTTAAAGAAATGGAAATGTCTTAAGAGCTGTACTGAATGAAATCTCATTTTGTAAAACACTCTGTCTACAAAATTAAAATCTGTAAACATTTCTAGGTATATAAATCTTTTTTTCACTTTCTGATATTCAGTTTCTGCTACAAAAATGTAATTTATAAAATATATCATAAAAAAATATATAATACAAATTTGAAATGTTCTTCCTTTGTTCAAGAAACTCTTCAGACTTCAGGTTAGTTTGATTCAGATGAAGAACATTTAGTTCATCTTTTTTCCTGCATTTTCCCAGAGCTGGAATGGATCCATAGTCACCTGGTGACTCCATTCATTCTGCCTAGACTGGACGTTCTCTATTTTAACTTCTATTGAACTTGGATCCAACTATTCACTAAAACTGAATCACATAACTGCTGATAAATACGCCTTGAAGTAGTTTGATGCTGATGCTCAGTTTTAGGAGAACTCCTCCGTTTGTGATTCACAGTTATTTTTTCAAATGGTTTTGCCTCTGATGTTTGATCCTGTTGGTTAGGAAAGAAGGTATTCAATGCTTCAAGCCATTTAAATAATTCACTCAGTCAGCATTTATTAATCTTCTTTGTAAAGGGAGATCAAAACAATCATAGCAGCCTAATAGCCTAACTTGCAGAAAAGCTGCGGAGGTTGTCAGAGCACGGTTAATCAGTTGGAGAAAACAGTTAAATGTCATGAATAAAACTTTAGAAAAAGTCTAGTTCGTTAGAAGGATTATTTTTTAATCCCAAACTCTCCCTAACAGGATAAATATAGATGTGAAGGACTCCTACATCTCTGAAGTAAGTCAACCTCCTGGGAATCAGACCATGGTCCTATTTTTCTCTGCTGAAATTATAATCCCCTTCATAGGACACAACCAGCATTGTGGCACAATGCATATGGAGATGTTGTGTTTATGGTGATGG